GGGGCCACAGTCAGACTGGTGTGTACCTTCTCTTCCCCCCTCTCCTAGGTGCGGGATTTACTGTGGGGTGGCATGGCCCGTCTGGGCTACTTGCACACTGCCAGGCTTGTGGTGCTGGGGATCTGGCATATTAGCTGGAGTGGATTGGCAAGGTGCACAGTGTGGGAGGGGCAGGCTCAGCTCGCTTATCCTTTGGTGATCCACTTCAGGAAGCGCCCTGCAGCACTGGAAGGGAGTCAGACCCTCCAATGGAGGGATGGATCCGCAGAAGCACATCATTGGGTGTTTGCGTGGTGCAAGCAAGTTCCCTGGCAGGAACTGGTTCCCTTTGGGATTTTGGCTGGGGGATGGGGGAGGGAGATGGCTCTGGCCAGCACCTTTGTTCCCCTCCAAGCTGAGCTCTGTTGTCCGGGGCTCAACAAATCTCCCTCCCGTTGTCCTCCTATCCTCCTGCTCTGCGAGCAAAGCTGTTAGTTTATAACCTTCCAGATGTTAAGTCCTGCTTGCTGTCAGAACACACTCCGTCCAGCCCATCCGGTTTTGCAAGCCAGACTCAGGGGCTCTGCTTGGCCGGTGGGCCGCCCCTCCCCCGGCTACCTCCCGCCAGTCCGTGTAGCACACACCGCCTCTTTGCCCTTCCTACCCTCTTCCGTGGGTGTCCTGTCTGCGCTAGGCTCCAGATAATCCATTCTGCTAGTCTTCTGGCGGTTTTCTGGGTTATTTAGGCAGGTGTAAGTGGAATCTAAGTGATCAGCAGGACACGGTGAGCCCAGCGTCCTCCTACCCCGCCATCTTCCCGACCATTCTCTCCAAATGAGAATCTAGCCATATTCTTTTAGCATCTATCTTCTTCTGTTTCTCATTTCATTGTAGGGTACTTACTACTCCAGTAGTCTCTACCCTTCCGTAAATCAGAAAAAGCAAGGCACTGGCCTTTCTCATCTTACTACAAGGATACGGTGGGGAGGGGAAGAATACAAAATGGAAAAGATGGGGGGCGCCTGGGTGGCGCAGTCGGTTAAGCGTCCGACTTCAGCCAGGTCACAATCTCGCGGTCCGTGAGTTCGAGCCCCGCGTCGGGCTCTGGGCCGATGGCTCAGAGCCTGGAGCCTGTTTCCGATTCTGTGTCTCCCTCTCTCTCTGACCCTCCCCCGTTCATGCTCTGTCTCTCTCTGTCCCAAAAATAAATAAAAAAAAAAAAAAAAAAAAAAAAAAAAAAAAAAAAAAAAAAAAAAAAACTTTTGGAAAGAAAAAAAATGGAAAAGATGGGGACAAAGACTACAAGTTAGAATCAGGTTTTGCTATAGGAGTCAGGAGAGAATAAGGGCATTACTATTTCTATAATGCTTTCCTGAATGCTAATTATTCAATATAAGTGGTATGCAACCCTTTTTTAATCAAAGTGTAATCAACTATAATGCAACCCTTTTTTAATCAAAGTATAATCAACTCTTGTAAAGCAAGATTTTTATTTAGAACTTTCTGTTCTTAATTGAGGGAAGCATCCTTGGCTAGTGGTTTGTCACTGTTGATTTCACATCCACTCTTGACCCCATCTTACCTGCAGAATATAGCGAATTTGCTGTTTTGTAAACTCTGACAATCCTCTGGGAATCAATGATTCAATGTCTTCTGACTGTAAGAAAAGAGAGGCTTATACATTGAAAAGATACACATGAGTATTGTAATTGTAGGGTCTGCAGTTCACAGACTTTTGTGCAGCAGAGCATATTTTTAGGAACATCAAAAGATTATTTCAGTTTTGGGCGATAGTTGCTACCAACTTCATTTCTACCGTGATAGTTCTTACTTTTAAAAAAATGATTAAAGAGGCACCTGGGTGGCTCAGTCGGTTAAGTGTCCAACTTCTGGTTTCAGCTCAGATCATTATTTCACAGTTTGGTGCGTTCCAGCCCTGCACTGGGATCTGTGCTGACAGGGCAGAGCCTGCTTGGGATTCTCTCTCTCTCTCTGTCTCTCTCTCTCTCACTATCTCTGCCCCTTCCCCACTCATGTTGTTTCTGTCTTTTTCAAAATAAACTTAAACAAATTATTTAAAATTAAAAAAAAAAAGATTATACTACAGACACTATGGAAAGTACCTTGAATTCTAGGCATTTTAGGGAAAAACTATGCAACCAATCAGATGTTCCATTTCTACATTTTTTAAGAGTAATTTAAAAAACAAAAAGATGGTCTCTCAAATCCCATTAAATACTCTCAGTGTATCTTTCAACAACTGGAAGCTTTGATGAGTGGTAAATATGACATTTTAGAGGCTGATTTTTTAAATAGTGAAAATTGAGCATTTACATTGAGCTATGATGACTTCTGAAAAAGTAGATGTTGACACAGCAACATTGAAAAGCTTTAACTGATTTTTTTTTTTTTAGTTGAAGCAATGCAAATTTATTATCTAGTAGTTTTGGAGGTTGGAATCAATGGGGCAAAATTAATGTGTCAGCAGAACTGCATTCTTTTGGTGGGCTCTAGGGGAGAATCTATTTCATTGCCTTTTTGTTTCTACAGGCTGCCTGAATTCCTTGGCTGGTGGCCTCATCACTCCCATCTCTGCTTCCATTGGCAGATCTCCTGACTCTGACCTCCTGCCTCCCTCTTTTAAGGACCGTTAGTGTTAACATTGGGCCCACCCACATAATCCAGGATAAGCTCCTCACTTTAAGATTCTTAACTTAGTCACATTTGCAAAGTTTATTTTACCATGTTAAGGTAACATATTCAAAAGTTTCAGGGATTAGGGTGTGGACATCTTTGGGGAGCTATTATTCTGTCTTCCACATAATCTTATTGCCCTTCTTCTGAAGCTCATATCCATACAGGTTCCCTCTGTGAGGTCTAGATCCAAGAGAGGGAGATTCTAATAGAGGAAGGGTCTTCTCTTCCACCTGCTCAAGACCCTCTTTGGATGACTAATCAAGAATCCACTTCCTCAGAAGACATCTTTCCCTCTTCCTCAGCGGGTGATTTTTCTCTATGGCTGCTGCAAGACAAGTTAATTAGAATACCATCCAGTACCTCTGACTTCAGTACCCTTATCCCAAACCATAGAAGGATGATGTCCTTACAAAAAAACAAAAAACAAAAAAAACAAAAAACAAAAACAAAAAACAAAAACAGATAGCCAAGGACTGAAGTTAAGACATCACAGCAGATACCTATCTTGCCAAATCCTATGCCCAGCCCACCAAGTATCATTGTCTTCTTTTATTTATTCAAATATAATTAACATACAGTGTTATATTAGTTTCAGGTGTACAATATAATGATTTAGCAATTCTATAAATTTCTCAGTGTTTATTAAAATAAGTATACTCTTAAGCCCCGTTATTTATTTCAGCCATATCCCCACTGACATCCCCTTTTGTGAGAAGCTTCAACTAATTTTAAGTGAAAATCACTGTAATGAATGCAGTATATCAATACATTGCAAATGAAGAAAAAAATTGGGGCACCTGGGTGGCTCAGTCGGTTAAGCGTCCAACTTTGGCTCAGGTCATGATCTCATGGTTTGTGAGTTCGAGCCCTGTGACAGGCTCTGTGCTGACAGCTTGCAGCCTGGACCCTGCTTTGGATTCTGTGTCTCCTTCTCTCTCTGC